TAATCTTATAATTTCAATTTTCATACACACTTAACACCTACTAAGAGTACACGTAATCTCGTGCAAGTAGTAAAACTACTACTACTACTACTACTACTACTACCTAGTATTTGTACTAGTACTACTACTAATACTACTACTACTACTACTAGTGTTACTATACTAGTGGTACTACTACTTTGTACATATGATGTGTTATTGTTGTTGTTGGTGGCTTTCATCCTCTGAATGTCATGATGGTGTCCTTTTGGTCTAGTAGTAGTACTACTACTTGGAGCGACTGAGAGCATAGATCTCCCAGGATTTATGCTGAGTCTGGTCAACCTAGTGCCTCTCTTAGTTCACTAGGTTAAATATAATATCAAGATTTTTGGTTTTTGTAACTACTACTAGTATTAGTACAACTTTCTCCGAAACAATCTTGAGATAAATGTGACAAATAAATCACCACAAAGCAATGTTCGTCATTCTTTTACTCATGAAGATGCTTGTCCTATTGCGTTTCTAATTTAAATATACATTGAACATTCATAAAATTTGTTCACTAATCATACTAAATAATAAAGTACCAGGATACAAAACAAAAAACTTATCGTGTACTCTGTCCCGCACAAATGCTTTCTCGTTGGTAGTTCTAAATCCATCACAACGAGAATCGTCGTCGCATCCAGTTCGGTTCGATCTGTGACGATACCGACTGAATGAACGACAAAATTAATCGATGTTTACGGTGCAAGACCACTGGGGCTACCGGCGTCTTCGCCTCCATTGACCTTTCCGACGCTACTTATCCGGGTTTCAAAATCTAGGGCCTCGTCAGCGGCGGCTTCAAAGGACTTGGAAACGTCCGAAGTCTTCGCGATCGTGCGGAGGAACCTTGTGGCCATCTTCAGGGTTCCACCAATGATGTATGAGGCGGTAATGACGGTAGTAAGGATCGAGACGGTAAGTTTGGTTCTCCACGTCGTGGTTTTGTTCGCGGGGTCCTGGCCACTCTCTGTGAACCCAACCTGTTCTAGGGACAGATTTCCAGAGTTCATCGCACCTTCCATTTTGCGGTATACCTGTAAAAAGGTGGCCGGTAGCAGGACAAAGAAACCTCTGTATGCTCTATACAGAATGAACAGAGTGTAGTAAACGCAAGCCTTGGTGGCGTAGACAATCTTTTTGGATTGGGAATCGGATTCGGACCCCTTTACGGTAGCTCTCTGGGCCATTGCCTTGAAGTTGTTTCCAATTTCATTGAGGAGAACCCACAACGATTTCTCACTCCCAATAGAAGATGAATTTAATGCCGCGACATCCGGTGAATCCGTCGCAACGATTTCGACAGGGGATGTATTTTCAGTGGGAATCAGGTCCTCTTCTTCCGTTCCCCCCTCGGCGTTCACTTCGTCTCCGTTATCGCTTTCTTCATTTTCTTTCGAACCCTGGATTCCTCCCCAGAGTCCAGATAGTGGAAGGCCTACCACTGGTCGTTGGCGGAGAAGGAACGGGGAGTGTCGACGGCTTCCTGAGGCCTGGGCGGCCGAAGGAAGTGGAAGCCGCGAGTCATTCGGCAATTGGAAGCCGAGACTTGATGGAAGAGAAGCCACGGACGCCAGAATGACAACCGATCGGAGGATTACAGCTGTTGAAGTCATAGCAATGGATGAAATGTTACATATGCGGTATGTGTTCGTAGTGAACTTCGAGAAAACTCCAACACAGATGAAATGAAGAAAGAGTTGTGCGGTGCTCTAGCACTACTAATATATCGTAGCATGAAGGAAAAACGAGCGGTGAATCTTTCTCAGATGCGAATTCCATTGCGGTACAATACTGTATGGTAACATACGATAACATACGATTTTTAAGATAACGAAGAAACTGAAAAACGTTCGTTTCTCACGTTGCAGTTGAAACAGGGACAGAAAAAACAGATGATGATAAAACGAGCGTGCACGAATGTACACGAATGAACGACAAAACGGTCACGAACCCGGGACGGTCACCGGACCATAAGGCCTAAGGGAGTACGGTACTCGTACATATTAATCTTGTCGTATGACGTATGCATATGTTGCTATAGTATTATCATATGATACCCGTCCAATTACTTGTATATTTCGTACGTTAGGTACGTACCGGTACGAGTACAAGTACAAGTAGGAGTACGAGTACGAGTTTCTCGTACTGTACTTCCTCACTTCCGAACGATTGGTCCTTCATGCCAATCATCGAAAGTGAAATAACCCAAAACAACATACGAGTTACTCGTAGCCATGGCAGAATTCAATACAAGCCCAATACTGATAGAACAGAACACGACGAGGACACAATAGAGTAAATCGCAACAAAATAAGGCAGCGAGAATGAACAAACTTCAGAATTCGAGAAATATAGCTGAATGGATTATCATTGCGTCCGCCATTGCTATTGTTCGTTGTCACGTTTCCAACCTCGCTAGCGGCATCGTCGGCGCGGCTGCATACGATGGTACAGCAGACCGTGATCCGGGAGATTCAGCGAAGAACATAGGCTGGGATCCAAAACGTAGCCATCCCTGTACGGTTGAAACGATATCTATGGAAGACTTTTTGAAAAAATACCGAAAGCAAGGGGGTCTGCCCCCCTTGTATCCTCGACCACTGGTCATCAAATCGCGTTCCGGCAATCCGCAGCGAAACCAAAGGTTCCAGGAGCTCACGCGGGAAGACACCATCCGAGACTCATTTCCCGCTAATTTCACCGTGACATTGTCCAGCTCGAATTCGTTCAGCGAACACAGGCGGACCATCCCCCTTTCCCAGTACCTGGAAGAAGTTGCCACCGGACCCCCCCTCGATGCCGACACCAAATCGAATGAGACATGGTACCTGTTCGGAGAAACCTATTCAGATGAATGGAAATCCCTATTGAGCGAATACCAGGTTCCTCCCTGTCAGGCTTGCTACGACGAATCCCTAGTGGCCCTTTCCTTTGGGATCGGGAACTCGGGATCGGGGGTTCAGTGGCACATCCACGGGCCCGGATTCTCTGAGGCAATTCACGGGCGCAAGCACTGGGTTTTGTATCCGTTCGAAGATCAACCCGCGTTCCACCCCGACCAAACGTCGTTGAATTGGATGCATTACAACTACCCTTCGTTCGAACAATTGGAAGACCGGCCATTGGAATGCACACTGGATCCCGGGGATTTGATTTATTTGTAAGTTCATATCCACAGAAAGAAGTGCGAACTCGGGGCGTTTGTGTAGTGCAGTGTAGTGTACTATAGTGGGTTATTGCTCGTCGTTCTTGTGGCTTCCGTGACGCCTTTGGTAGCTATGGTTTACTTTAATCCGAATGTTCCCTGCCCTCTCCCCGTTTGTTCCGCAAAATGCTTTTTGCGATCACCCTATCGTACGGAAACAATTTCTGACATTCCAAACTCGTTTTTTTTTGTCGTTTGCGCCAAACGAACGAACGAACGAACGTAAACAGTCCGGACATGTGGTGGCATGCTACGATCAACGTTGATGATTATACAGCTTTTGTCTCGACGTTTACACAAGAACATTTGTTCCTAGATCGGTCCGAAACGAAAAAAGCTTGGGCGTGAAAAACCACGGATAGTTGTAATGGAATGTTGCCACATGCATTTAGCTGCTGTAAAGAATCCACTAGGTTACAACGGTTCGTGACTATTATTTAGACTGTATTTATTATCTATGGGAAAATCGTTTTATTGTTTTGGCAAAATATTTTCCAATTTTCCGAGGTCACATTTGTGATGATGGAGTTGTTGTTCACCACTCCATCCTCGCCTGTTTTATTGCAGTATTGTTTTGTTTTTGTTCATTTCGTAGTGGCTGCCGAGGCACGCATCAACTAGTATCGTTTGATTGTAAATTGCATGTAAGAAAAAGAGGAGCATGGAATCATTTCCTAGTCGGCTCCCGCAAATGGTCGAGGTGCGGTATGGGCATTCGTGGACGGTCTCAATTCCTCTGGTGGTGGAGGCAATCAATGTCCACCAACTTGGCACTTTCTGCGTTTAGTTTAGTTTCTTCGAAGCGAAATATATGCGCGGATTTTGTGTTGTGTTTGCAAACAAATCGCGGAAAATCTCAACTCCGATCAGGATCTTGATGTGTTCGTTATTGTTTTGTGGTTCATATGTTTCTATGTTCTATTGATTTCCGACCTTTGCTAGGTATGATTCAAGGGCGGCAGCTGCCAGATCTACTTCCTTGTTCTCATTCCCATTGCTTGCATTGAAATCCACACCCGTGCAGCTGTCGTTGTTCACGAGCCGCGACTTTGCTTCCTCGGCAGCGGCTTGGGCCAGAGCGCTAACAGCTTCCACCTGGCTCTGGAATGCTTGCGGACTGGCAATTACATTCACAAGTCGTTGGACAAATACTTGTTGCAGAGTCTTAGGAAGAGTATTGAGGGAGTGCCGTAGTTTTTCTACAAGCTTTGCGTCGACTTTTTCTTCTTGCATTGGCTTAGATGGATGCAATGACATGGTGGTATCCGGGACATCAGGCGCAATCAACTCATCGTCGAAATAAATGCTATCATTGTCAAGATCCCGAAGCGTTTCGAGGATGTCCTCGTCCGTAATAGATCCATAAGATCGCTGATTTGTAATAATCGGAGCAGGTGTCGGTATAGGCATTCGATGGGCTTCCGAATAGAACTTAGAGTTATTGGAAGTACTAGTCTTCGGAATGGATATTGGAAGCGTCATCGATTTGACAGGAGAAGGGGGCAACGCTTTTGATACTGAGACTTTGCGTTTCTTACTAGCTGGAGAGTCTTGAACGTATCGACCGTTCGCATGGTGATGTTTTTGCTCCTCTTGAATCATACCTCCAACGAGTGCTGCCAACTGCTCCATATTTTTTGACATCGTTGCGATCTGTGATTTGAGATCCTTTACTTCGAGTTTCAAGGCATCTACTTCTTGCTTTTCTGCCGGTTCGATCTGATTGCTCTTCTTGATTTCCGACAATAAATCGGGTCGTCCTTTCAGAAATTTCTCATGGCGGAATCGCCAGTACTTTGCTTCTGCATCATTTTCTTGGTCACGAATACGGATTGGGTCGGTTTTGATCTTGCGAAAGCCGTAGAAGTTCAATTGACGTACAAAACTTGAAAAATTGTTGTGTTTGAAAAAGGAAGGGATCACTTCGCTTGCAAATTTTTCTGGGTCCTTCACTACGAAACTTGTCCCGTCTTCTGACCATGTTGCAATTTCAGGGTCACAAGTATTGATCATTTCGTACGTTCTAAAGTGAAAAGAGGTAGCGTGTGTGTTAGAAAGAGATGTCAGAAACAGAGAATGTTAGAGATGAAAGCGATGTTACATGAGGTAGAATTTGGAATCTGCTTTTTGAGTCAGACTATATTTCAAACGTGCGTCAATCTACGTGCAGTATTCTACGTTATTCTACCGTGCGCCATTAATGGTGTCAATGGGACTGTTCAAAGTCATGACCATTCAAATTGGGTATGAATACCGACATCAAGTTAAGGCTGGAGCTGAAACTCACTACGAAGCTCTTTTGCAGCATCTGAGAATAAATAGATGGCGGGATTACATCTCAGGACCCGAAAAATAAAAAAACAACGATTGCACGAAAAGTTTCATTCGATCGAAGGGAAGCAAAATACACGGAGCATTTTGATACTTACTTTCGCAGGAAGATGGGGGCGTTTTCTCCCTCTCTTCTCTTTGATATTTTACTAGAGCGTTTTTTCGACGTTGTTGGTGTGGTTGACGAAAGCGCTGCAGATGGAATAGGATTCGACATGGTGTTTGCAAATGTTGAAGTCAAAATTGAATTTGGCAATATTTGCATACTGTGTTTGTTACTATGTTGACAGGATGTTGGCTTCTCCTTTTCAGTTATTTTCATTTTATGCGCCATCTGCGGATGCAAAATAGCGTGCAAAAAACGAGAAGACCGTCTGCAAAAATTTGGTGGGACTTACTCTCTTGCCTTGCCGTGCTGCCCGCGGAGCGCACGGTAAGTTACCGTACAGTACTGTAAGGGTTTCGTAGTTGGTACAGTACGTACGAGTACTCATACTGTAAATAAAACTTGTCTCGAGCTTTCTGTCGCACTTTTAGCACGGTAAGATTACTCACATCGAGGGAAGAAAAAGAGTGTTTGGGACTACAGGATTCGCAGAAGTAATGGTACCTGTTATATTTTGTTATGACATCACAATATGCGCTCAATTAATACAATATTTATGACTGGTATCATTATTATTGCCACGCGGTAAAAAACGCTACCGCCGTGCGTCATACTGGGTACCGATGGTACGAGTAGTATGGTACTCTACAGTAATGAAGTGGACTTAGGCCTTGTATTCAATCGAACAGAGACGAAACACGATTTAAATTCAATGGTCTGTATTGCGTACGTTTTTTCTGACGTATGACGGACGCTGAGGCAAGAAATGGCGTCAGTCTGTTCCACCGTACGTTACGATTAAGGTACAAACAAAGCACTCGTAGTCGCTTTCCTCACAAAGACGTTCTAGGGCATTATTTTGTTGGGTGCGTGTGTGGTTGAGGAATTTTTTCTGTCAATTGAAAACTTTGCCACCCACAGGTCTAATCTGGTAGAAAAAAATTTGGACAACTACTATTTCTAGTAGCTAGTACTGCTGCTGCTGCTACTACTACTAGTATGTAGTGCTACTCATATTATGACCTGTTGCATCCAAGAAATGCTAGTATTGCCAACAAAGAGAATACTATGCATA